CGCCGTATCTGAAGCCGCATCACAAGAATGCGTGTCGTGCTTTCGCTGCAAAGAACATGGCGAAGGTGGTTTTTGGCGTCAAGTTGTCTTCTCGGACGAAAAGAAGTTCAACTTGGATGGCCCGGATGGATACCGCGCGTGCTGGCGTGACCTCCGTGGTGACGAAAAAGTGTTCTCGAAGCGGGTCAGCGGAGGAGGCAGCGTTCTGGTTTGGGGTGCTCACGAAGTTCAACAGTGTCTCGAAGACAAGATTGTTGTGTTCCAACAAGATAATGCATTTATCCACGCTTCCAAGGAGACGAAAATGTTTCTTGAAGACTCGGGCGTCTTCCTAATGGACTAGCCTAGCAAGAACCCCCGATTTGAACGTTATTGAGAAAGTTCGGGTATTCTAGCCCGCCATGTGTACTAGGGTGGGCGACAATTTGTCTGACTTGAAGCGGCAAATTGCTTTATCGTGGAAAATGATAGGTATTTACTACTTGAAGACGCTTGTGGATAGCATGCGTACGCGTTTGGCTGAAGTTGTTTTGAAAAATGGCGGTAGAATCGACTATTATTAGCGTAGTGCGCATATAAATATTTCGCGAAATATATTCTGCGATTTCTAGTATTATCCCTTTTAAGATGGGTAGATATTTTTGCACTTATACCACACTGCAAACTCTCTTTACGACATAGGACATGTTCAGATCAAAGCAATTGTCAGGACTTCTCCGCAAAACCAAGATTTTCATGTGGGCATTCAATTATTTCGCGCACTGTACTTGAGCTTTCTTTACGTATCCGTTTCGTTGTCAAAAATTCCATGTTAGGATGTGATGGTGCTCGTCGTTGTGATCTGGCACTCGATGACCCGTTGTCGTTGGCCGGATGCACAGGGAAGGACAGAAATCCTTCTCCCGTGGAACACGACCATACTTCTGGAATATTACTCCCTCTGTCCCACGAAAATTGCGCGAGTTTGACGAGGGTTTACATGACTGACAATTAGATTTTGAAGGCAAATTCAGGCTGTGCGTATGTCTTATCAATTCGGGAATCGACACCTCTGATTGGATCATCGCACAAAGCGCGCCAAGAGCTTTCTAAGAATGCAAAATTTGAGCACGAATCTCAAAAACGCGGGTCATTTTTGCCGAGTCAAAGGCAGCATACAAACTTCCATGTAAATCATACATCAGAAATGACACACATTCAAAATGTCATCAACACGGCACGACCTGACGAACGATGAGCGCGAAGTCGTCCTTCGGGAAGTCCTGCTCCAAGGCAACAACGGTTTTCCCACCCGGCTGCCTAAAGGCACAACTCAGTTGTTGGCTGCAAAGTACCAGAGCCACTTGTCTACCATACGCCGAATCATTGCGTTGGCCAAGGCCCAAGGCGTCTCTCATGGTTACTTGAAAGTGTG